GTCACGTTTCAGACAACATCAGACCTCGCGCTCCAACCCTCCGTCACGTGAGCTTGAATCGCAGACGTGTGACCGGAAGTCAGCAGCTGGACATCCCAAACACCGCACAAACACAATCAGAGCTCTCATTCAATGTATCAGAGACTTACAATAAAAGCTTTTGTCCAGCCATATACTCATATGGACATGATGTATTTACTATAATATGATGTTGTGTGATGTTTTAAACTTGTGGCTGGTTGACCTTTGATATATATAAATATTAGTTACACACAGTAGATTATTAAAATTCCACCAAACTCTATACACACACATACGATGTGTGTGAAAAAAGGTCCAGGACTGGTGTCACAAAAGATATACTTCAAATCCAAACTACAAGTTTTCCCTTCATAGTAACACCCGTCCCCAGCCTTCTCTGTCACGCCGCCGTGCACTCCTGGAAGGATTCTTCCAGGATCCTCCACAGCGCTGTGTCGGCATGTTTTCCATGAATTAAGTGAAAGTTGTGCCCTACAGGTGCCTATGGCACTTGCCAGGCCGGCAATGTAAATAAGAATCTTGTTCTTAATGTCTTGCCTGGTTAAATAAAGGTTAAATAAACAAAATAAAATAAGTATTATTTAATTTTTCGACATCAGTAAACATCAGTAAACAGTAAATGCCAATAAAAACAACATCAGTAATTGCCAAGTCTATGAAAATTGATCGTCAAATTCACTTTGTATTTTTTATTTTACATGTATTTTAAATTCACTTGTAATTAGAAAATGCTTAAGAGAAATCGCTCATATCTCTTCTCCCTCCTGGCTCCACAGCATGTCCTCCACTCTGTGTCGTCATGTCGTCTGGGAGTCGGAGGGCCTGGTGGCCTACCTTCACCCCCGGCCCTGGACCCCGGGCTCCGTTATTCTGGAGAGCAGCCGCCCCGGCAGCCCCGGGGGCAGCATCTTCCACCTGCAGGAGGCAGAGTACTTGTCCTGGCTGTTGGGGGCGAGAGCCGTCGCAGAGCTGCTGTGTGAGCGGCTGGGGGTTCGGAGGTGTGCGTTGGTCAGCAGACCCCACAAGGACAGACCAGCTCAGGTAAGGGTTTCTCTGCTCAGTGGGTAGACTGGTTTACTGTCCAGTGCAACCAGTGGAGACATTAAAGAGGTTGAGGGAGGATTTGGGAAACTACTAATTATGCATTTTAATTCCTGTCATGGTGGGAAAAGCCTCAGAAGGAACTAAAGCATCATGGGAGATGTAGTTGTTAATATTCCTATTAACTATCACGACTAAAAATGCAAATAAGTTTATGAATAGTTCATTAATAACATTTGTTTTTTAATGAATTTTGAGGGAAAGAAAACAAAAGTTAGATTGTGTCTGAAACAGCGTGTAAAGCTTCAATGAGCTGCTTGTAGATTTCTGCCAGTAATCATATTTATTTCTGCAGATCCGCGTCCTCCCCCTGCATGGTCTGGATGCAGAGTGGCGCCCTCACCTGGCTGGAGAAGAGGAGCACAACGCCCACGACCCGGGGTTCTGCACCTCCAAGACCGCCCCTCGATGGAGCGAATCCAGCCTTACTGAGATCCAGACTAGGATTCGAGCCAAGCTGCCCTCTCCCGACGCTCCACCTGATCTGACCTTCCTCGGGGACGATCCAGCTCACCCCGGCCTGTTCTCGCGTATCGTCCGTGGGGAGGAGCAGCAGTGGCGGCTGTGGGAGGACGACGGCCACGTGGCCTTTCTCACTCCTTTCCCCAACTCTCCAGGGTTTACTGTGTTGGTTCCTCGGCGACCTTTGACTTCAGATATATTCAGACTAGAAAAAGGGGACTATGAAGACCTGGTGTTGGCTACGAAGAAGGTGTCGCGGCTCCTTGAGGAGGGACTGAGTGCCTGGGGGGTGGGCCTTATTTTTGAGGGATTTGAGATTGACTATGCTCACGCCAAACTGATCCCACTGCTTCTACCTTCATCGTCGGAGGCAGAAGATGACGCCGCTAAACCACCATCTCCCCAGTTTTACCCCACTTACCCCGGGTATGTGAGTTCAGAAGATGGACCTGAAGCCAGCTCAGACAGTCTCAAGGAGATGCAGGCTAAAATTACTCAGAGTTGATGCTGTTACGCACAGTTTGGTTCCTACTGAAGCAACAAACAACATGTTTCACTTTGTCATTACCGTCATTGTTTTAACTGAATCGTTTATCTGATCTTGTGTTTGGCTGATAGTGACTGAACAGGGATTCTGCTTTGCAAGTATTTCAGCTCAGTATCAAAGTAGACACAAGGCATTACTTGGTAGTTAAAAATCCAAACATTTCAAACAAACATTTTATCCCAAAATCAAACATCTAATCAAAAAAATTACTTGCAACTGCAGACTAGATCAGCTCTGTCATTTACACTGGACTGTCTATAACACTGGGTTACAAAACTATATTTTTTTGAAGGTTTCTAGGATTTTTTAACTGATTTAGGACATTTTTGCTGAATCCAAAAATGACATCTGCTTTTCTGTATCAGGTCAGGTTTTATCCTGATCACCAAGCTTCATGCCAAAATAAGCATGAAAAGCACATTTTACGAAGTTGGTGACCGGGTATCTGTTTGGAACAAGAGTGTATTCACCACAGATGTAGCAGAAGACATCAGGCTTATTTCTACAAGCCCTTCTGGCTGAAGCCATTTGTTTTCAATGTATGTATTGAGGCAAAGAACACTAACTATAGAACAATATTGACGCAGAGAAAACGATCATAAACTACAACTAAAGTTATGATCACGCCATCCGGTGGTCTCCACTCAGATGTTCATGTTGATAAAATCCTGTGACTCTAATGTGTCGTTCATAAACTTTCAATCTAAATTTAATTCACCTGCAAATATTTATAGCATCAACTTGTAAAGGTTTCAGAATTTGTTCATTTCAGGAAATAGAAAAATAATTTTGTGTGATACAAAGCATAGACACCCGCACAGGTACACAAATATGTAAAAAGAAAAAAAAAAACAGGGCATGTGGTGACAAATCAACATTTTGACCTCACTGAGCAAAACCAGAGTCATATTTGGATTCAGCACATTGCAATGGTCCAAAACCAGCTCAAAATGGGAGTAGACCAGTGTAATCTATTCAAATAAAACATTGTGATTTTAATTAATTTCTGAAAGTATTTGTGTAGAATCGACATTTTCTAATCAAACGGTGACATGCAAAGACGACTCTGCACGAAGTTCTTTCACAAATACACTGTAAGATGATGACAAACAGCTGTACACATGTAGTAGTTATTAAGTGATCAGAATTAAGACTTTCCCCCCCAAAATTCCCATAGCCAGTTCAGAGACTCTTTCAAACACCACTCTTGAAAGAAGAAGGCATGTTGTGTTCATTTTCATTCCTCCGTTAATGACAGTGTGTTCAGTATTTAGTTTGGTAACGTAGCTAATGTCCGTGGCCACTCGGTACGCTGCCATAATTGGTCCCACTGTGTATTTCTGATAATGAGGCTGATTTAAAAACCGACTAAGTGCTTAATCAGAGCTCCGTAAACCAGCCGCTGCCCCAGGCTGTCGTTAAAACAGACAAATAGACGTTTGTGTTAACAGGAGGGCTTTCTCTTACCGGTTGCCATCGGAGGAGCAGAGAACAAAATAAACTCTTTGAGGAATGGCATCCTGTGATCTTCTTTACTTTTTATAGTGCCCACTTTCACCAGCAGCCTGCCTACTTCTGTTCTAGGCATCTTCTACGTCCTACAAAGTCTCTTCGAAGTAGTAAATCTTCCAGCACAAAGAAAACACATCATTGTTTATTGTGTCACATCCCTGCATCGTCCTCTCCTAAACAAACTTCTGGTAAAAATGTTAAGCTGTATAAAGTATTGAAAGTTACTCTCCAGTCATTGATTACATTCCTACAAACTCTGTATTTCAAAGTGACATATTTCAACGTACTTTTTTCTGTGAAAGTAAACATTTCCTAGTTTAGAACAGCTCAGACGTCCCTACGCCTTCACCTCCTTTGTGGATCTCCGAAGTCTCTTCCTCCACTCATGCCTCCATCATCATCTTCACACTGCAGTTTTAACATTGAAATGCTCAGCCCTGGTGTTGACTGTTTATTTTATACATCATGTGTCTCGTAGCATATAAAAAACACACACATGGTTTCCTTCTGAGAGAGTTACACTTGACAGCAATCTGTGTAATAGAAAAGGCTGCATTATCCTTATTACATGCATAGGATAAGTATTTAATATGAGATATAATTAATAATAATTAGTTTTTTGCCAAACCTGCAAAAATAAGGCCAACTAAATATGATACTGGACTCTCTTCTGGACACAATGTGTTCTGAAAACTGTCCCTACAAAACGTGTATTTATGTTATTTATCGATTTAGGGATTTTGATTCAGATATCTATCTCAAAATTGAATAACCAAATCAAACCTGCAGGAACACCTTCAGAGGCGGACATGACAGCTACTGCTACTCTGCTAAGCTATGTAGCTTAGCATTTAGCTATGTGGGATAGCAGACTAATTCACTACCAAGTAGGCGCTTAAACATGATATTTTTTCTGATAATAGTGATGCTGATAATAGCAAGCAGAAAAATCTGTACATTTTATTGTAGCTTTAGCGAAGGCTTTGTCTATAGGACAGAATTTACTAGATGTACTTGCTAGCTGTTAGCCGCCAGCTCAGAGGGTGAACGCTTCAGAGAACTTTTACATTTTTATCCTGTAAGATATATTGTTTTATAGAAAACAGACGTCAGTTTAAGCTAAAGTTTTGGCC